TAGTATCCGTTCAATCATTAAGTTATCTATTTTATTACTGCGACCGCACCTCTCCGTCCCTCAGCAGCCCGCGATCCCCTCCACCCTGCCGCCACAGCCACACGGCCTCGGTCGCCCACGCTGTCGCACTCGCATGTCTCCCGATTCCTCCACGGTTCGTTGAGAGCCCATCGAGACTGCCACCAGCCTCGTTCAGCATGCCGGCCACCACCTTCTCCCTCTCCACGACGCTCCACAGCCCCTCCACCAGGCGGCTCCCCTTCTCCCCAAACTCCCCCTTGCCCAGGCGGTACAGCAACCGGCCCAGGACCTGCCAGGCCAGACAGCGTTGGGCGGGCACCGTGGACCGCGAGAGGATGGCCAATTCAGGGACTGTGTAGCCCGCAGCCTCGGGGTCTTTGGCGTGGTGATGTAGACCCAGGGTTGTGGGCAGGGCGAGCGAGGTGCGCGGGGCGAGGATCTGGCCGGTGAGCGAGAAGCGGAGGGATGCAGGAGCGAGAGCGGTTGCGGTGCTGGCGGGATGGTATGCCGAGGTCGGTGGTTCTTCGTCGGGAGAGGCGGGTTTGAGCCAGGAGAGGGAGGCGGTGTCGTGGGGGGTGTTTGGGAAGTAATGGGATTGGAGGTCGGCGAGAAAGGACGGGGATGACGGGTCGAGATTGGGCATGGGCGAGTCGTTGGGCGGAGTGGGAAAGTGAATCGGCGCGGATGGAGGCTGGGAGGCGGGCAGAAGGTCTGGTGGCGGATTGGGCGGTGGCATGTCGTCGGGGGGATGGGAGGGCGGCTCTTGGGGTGTGTTTTGGGTGTCTGGCAGGTCGAAAGAGACTGGTTTTGCTTGTGGCTCTGGTCTATCTGCCGGGTGATCACTGTCGATGTTTGCGCGCTTCAGCAGGCGCTCAATCAGCGAGGACGGGAGAGCCGACATCAGCTCGGCGCGCTCCCGCTCGATTTGCGCGGGGGACATGGCCGCCAGCCGCTGCCTGTTCTCCTCGTCAATGGACCTCTGCTCATCTTGGGGGGGTTTGCTCTGGGGTGTTGGTGATATGGTCTGGTCGGCAGCGCGCTGGCGCTTAAAGGCCGAGGGCTTTCGTTTGCGATGCGGCGGGAAGCCGGTGGTGGGTGGCTGGGGAGGGGCGGGCGGGGCGGCTGTGGTGCGTTCGCGGATGTCGGCGACAAAGTCGAGGGAGTCGTCGAGGTCGTCGAGGTTGACGGTGAATCTCTGGCCGCGGATGGCCATCTTGTGTCTTGTGTTGTATATTGTGATATTGAGATGTTCATCCGACAGTCTGGTTGACGCGGCTGAATGGCATAAGCGCCGCTAGCCTGTCTGGGTCTAGCGCGTGCCATGTGCGGATAATCAGCGCTAGCCTAATCGGGACTGCTGATTATATAATTATCGTGAAGAAGAACAAGAAGAAGGAGAGACACTCGCAAGAAGAGAAGGGGAGAAAGAGAAGAGGATGAAATAGAGAGAAGAGAGGAATAGAAGAAGAAGAAGAAGAAGAAGAAGAATATAAGAGAATATAGAGAAGAGACAAGACACATAGAGACAGTGTGTTATCCTTAAGTTACGCGACAAAACACCGGTGAAACAGTCTCAATCGCCGGCTGCAGTGCGCGCTGCTCGATACCGCCGTAATTACATTCTGATATCGAGGGATTTGCTTCTTTGGACTAATTGATTAACCGGTCATTCGCTTTCTCTTTCTTCTTCTTTCTCCTCTTCTCCTCCTCTCTTTCATCCCACTTGCTTTATCTCCCATCTTCACTCTCCTGGTGACCACTTCCTGCATCACCTGTCAGTACTGTCTCGCCACCCACTCCATCCTCGAATTCCGACTTTTTCATTTCCTGCCAGCACAACACCCATCGCCAACACCCCTTTCCAATCCTCTATCCTCTTACCTTCCACCAACACCAACACCTCCACCAACACCTCCACCAACTCCTTTTTCGTTCTGTTCCACCACTTTACCACCACCACTAGTGAATGAAGTGAATGGGATATTATTAGACTATGACCACCGCCAACGATGCAGACGCAGTAGAACCCGCTGCACCTGCACCCGCCACTGCCGCTGCCACCGCTGCTGCGTCCTCGCCCCCCTCGCTCAGCTCCCTGTCTGAATGCGAGAGCGTTGCACCACCCGCCCACTTCGCGACTGACAGCAACAAGAACCCCGTCTCCCAGCACCCGCCCTCGCCGCCCGCCGCGATGGTCAACAAGAAGACCACCGCTCCAGCCACAAGCACCCCAAGCCACATCGGCCAAGACCCGCCCCAGCCACATCCCCCCGCCAAGCCCAAGCGATCCCGAAAACGGAAAGACGACGATCCCGCCAAGGACGGCGCGCACGTGAAACCCCGCCGCCAGCGGAACGCCAACAAGGACAAGGACAAGAGCGGAGCCAAGGACTCCGCCCCCTCCGCCGCCCGCAAGAAGCAGAAGCTCGACCACCTGCCCGACCTCAAGCCCTCGCCCGCCCGCCAGTCCAAGATCACCGACCTGGTTGATCCCGCTCCTCAGCACCAATACAAACCGCTTGCGCCCTCGCCGAATAACAGCTATGAGCCCAGCAATCCCTACGGCCCCCTCCCCCAGCAGTCCCCGCCCGTGTCGTTCTCTGCACCGCTGCCGCCACCCCAGCGCCCGCACTACGACCCGGTGCGCTCCTCGATCGACCACTACGCGTCCGCGTCTGCTCCCGCCTCGACAACCTCTCCCGCCGTGAACAACCTACAGACCCCGAGCAACTTTAGCCCTCCGCCAGCCAACACGGCGACCCCGCCCCCACGCAACGTCTTTCGAGCCAGCGCATCACCGGCCATCTCCAGCATCATCGATCCGCCGGAGCTAGCCTCTGCACCGACCCTGCTGCCCGCACCGAACGAGGACAAGGCGAAGCAAGACGACCGTCCAGCCCCGACCCGGCTCCAGGAGCTGGCCCCGATGGACATTGACAAGGACGCGACATCCGGATCCCCCACGACGCAGAAGCCGTCGAGCCCACCGAAAAAGGACAAGCCCGCCGCCAGCTCGAACGCGGCCGTCTCTCGTGCCGCGTCGCCGAAGCCCACACGCTCGAAAGAAGCACCGCCGCCGCGGCCTTCTGGCTCCGGCCTCCTCACCAGCGCCGTGTTTGGGCTGGACGTGAACTCGTCGACACCGGCGGGCGAAGACGATCCCCAATATCATCCTTCACATTCCGCTGCAGAACCGGAGCAACGTGGTGGTCAACTTTGCGCGTCTGGCGGAAGAGCAGTACGGATTCGACGCGCTGCACCCACGCATCGCG